GATTAGCGTACTTGCTAGAACAGGATGTGCTACAACTATTCTGACATATGAAACAGAGATACAAAGTTAGAGCATCATATAGAGGTTGTGGCAGTTCAGGCAAAAGATATTGAGATGGAACTGACACACAAGCTGGGGTAGTACTTGAACGCAGATTCTGAGAAAGTACTTAGTGTGAGCGTTGATACAGCATAGGAGGTATCAGAACGTGTGTTAAGACCTGGTACATCAGAGGATGTATCAGACATCGTATCAGGAGGCAAGGACTTGACGTTGACCAAAAGATGACGTGGCAAGTGACTTGCTGATATGATCATGTCCAGCACTAAAGACATGAAGCTTAAACATATTCTTGAACTTGATGGAATGGAGCTTGAGCCTGAAGGAAACGAGCTTGTAACTGAGGAGAAGCTTGTAGCCGAGGAAGCAGCTCGTTCTGGATTTAATCTTGAGCAAAAATGGAGAAGACATGATCTTAAACCTCCCTGGTTTCCATACAAGCTAAGTGATTCAACAAATTGATAAGTGATTCATAGGTGCTCTTTTTTCCTTGTCTTTGGTTTTGTCCCAATGGGCTTTCCAAAGGAAGGATTTTAGCGAGGCTTATGTTTCACTTCATCATAATCCATTTTGTTAATCATAACCAGTCCACATTCTATTCTATTCTATTCTATTATACTCTATTATTTTCGTGGCCAAAGGGGAGTGCAAGAGTTATTTTCAAATTCAAACTCTGTTTTAAGTATTTTCCTAGTTTTTGAGACTAGTCTTGGAGCATGTTTCAAGACTTGTCTTAATTACCTCTTTTTATGTTTTTCTTCTCTTTCTCTCTTCTTTATAAGTCCTCTTTGTATTCTGGACGAAATTATCTTTCTTTTTAATCAAAAACCCTTTCTAAAGAAGATCATCTTGTTGGTGTGTATATCCAGCAAAATCCTTAGACTCTTTGGTGTGTATATCCAGAGTTGTTTAAGTCGTTATCTTGAAGCTCTTTCCGCAAGATTCACTGATGACCATCAATCATTCAATCCATCATCCATCATCACGGCCTCACAGCCACCTCTATCCATCTCTCAACTTGATAAGTGCTGATTCCTTGGGAGGATCATATTATGTGATATCAGAGCACACTTTGAAAGTTGAGTTTTCATTTCTATCAATTTTTATCAGTTCATATTATCATCACCATCATCATTTAGTCTGAATAATGACTCTTCATCTTCTTTGATTTCTTTTAAGATCTGTTGTTGAAGACAGAAGATTTTGTAGAACTTTTTTACTGGTTTTGTTGTTTATTTTGAAAACAGGATGAAGTCTGAGCATGAAGAGAAACTCAGTAAAAATGACAAGTTTTTGTTTGAAGCAATGACTAAACGATTTGAGAAGATGATGGACGCCAAGTTTTGGATGCTTCAACAAAAACTTCAGAAGAAAAAGATAGCATCAAGTGGAGCACGTCATAGAAAGGATCAAAAGAGATCTCCAAAGAAAGAAAGAGAACCAAAGAGGCAATCCCGAATTAAAGCTACTGATAATTACTATGCTCATCATAGTAGTTTTCCTCAAAGCAGTCATGCAGAGCTGAAACCCAAGAAACCAGACAAAACTCATAGCAACTCATATCAAACTTCTCACTTTTCCAATCCAAAGGTTTGTTTTAATTATCTGCCTGCTGATGAAATTCAACTCTATTCTTTTTCAGGAAAAAAAAACTACTTAGAGTGGGAGGAAAATATTGATGATTGGTTCTACTACAACCACATTTTAAAAGAGAGGAGGCTTGATTATGCTATTGGACAACTTACTGGGAAAGCCCATAGATGGTGGTTACAAGAAAAAAATGATCGCCGGTTTTACAAGGAGCCAAGAATCACTACTTGGAGTGAACTTAAAAGAATATTGAGGAACAAGTATGCACCAAAAGGTCAGAAAGATCAGATCCACGCCCCTGACTACCATCAAGATCAGAAGAGTAATTTTTCAAAGAGCATGAAGAAGAATGATGCTCTCAGCCATGAGACATTGTGCAAGCCAGTAACAAAACCAGAGTTAATCATTGATCAAAGAAAAGCTCAGATAAGTTCTTCTTTTGATAAATTAGTACCTAAGTTATCTACTACTTGTGTGATGCACTTGTCTGTGTCAAAAATAGCTGGAACAGGTATTAATAAAGAGGGCACGTCCAAAGGAGAAGAGTCATCACCAGCAGCAACACTTGCAATAGAAATAGAACAAGCTCAAAGAAGAACAGACTTGAACTCTATACTTCCTGAAAACAAGAAACACGAAATTGTTTTAGCTTATAACAAATAAGAGGTACAAGTTAAACTTTTTCCAAATGTTTATAATGATTTCATGACTGGAATAATGCACTTGTCCTTCACCAAAAGTGTTGAGACAGGTACATGAGCTAATGGAGAACAAAGGAAGCAAGCAGGTCAAGAAAAAGAGCAAGTAGATCAAGAAAAGGAGATTCAACCAGAACTAACTCCACCAGAATCTAAACCACTAGATCCACAAATTCAAGGTTTAGAAGTGATCAGTAAAGAAGTAAATCAAAGGGAGTCACAAAGTCAAGTTTCAAATCTGAAGTCAACTCAAAACACTACCTGTTCGATGTTATCTAAAGAGATTAGGCTGGAGTCACACGATCATTTTAGCTCAGGTAAGTGTCTAGAAACCCTCTGAAATTAGTAAAACTCATATGAGTTTTCTAATGATGCAGGAAGAACAGGTTTGAATCTTAATTTCTCTAAAGACAGAGAGATCTGAAGAGAAATTATAACTTATGTTGTGAAAGCTCCAAATGATGAGCTAGATCATGAGTTCAATCCAGAACCAAATAACAAGTGGAAGTTGAAACTAGAGAAAAAAATCATTCATGAAATATCTAAATCCAAGCTAAGTGCAAATTCAATTCAGCATATTCCTCTTGGTCTTTTAACGGTCTTAAAGCACTTGTCTTGCTTTAAAGAAGTTGAGATAGGTACATATAAGCTGGAGAGACCCATTAGTCTACCATTTGTTAACTTGTCAAGATAAAAACGTATGAGCAATCTGTATTTGAAGCCCTTACAGCAGCTGATGTTGTTTCAAAGCAGAAATAGTTTAAAGCTGATGCATTGCTGAGAACTTGTCATAACACACAAGTAAGTGAAGCTCAAATTTTCAATCAGTATTGGGATAATTTCTTAATAAATCAGAGTTTCAGGAACTCTTGTTTTGAAATTTCCATTTCAAGTTTAATGCACTTGTTCTTTTCCTTAAGTGTCAACAAAGGAGTAAGTTCTATGAAGAATAAGAATTTGGAGCAGCCGACCATCTTTGTGTCAGAATCAGTCCCTAGGCCCTTTCCTAAAGATCACCAAAGAAAGCACTCCTTGAAACTCACAAGAAGAACCGGAGAAAGGGAGGAAGACAATCGATTTAAGCCACCTGATATGGACAAGGATAAACACCAAGACGTCAAATGTTTTGTAATAATGAAAGAAAAGCCATCAGATGCAGCATACAAGCCAAATCCGAGCCAAACCCTATATGGAGGTATTTCTTTAACTCTTTGTGATAACATTTGTATTGACTTGACATATTTTCTTGCATGAGAATTGGATTTAAGGTCAAATCCTTTTCAAGAGGGAGAGGATGATATGATCATTGCCAGCACTAAAGACACGAAGCTTAAGCATATTCTTGACCTTGATGGAATGAAGCTTGAGCCTGAAGGAAATGAGCTTGTAACTGAGGAGAAGCTTGTAGCTGAGGAAGCAGCTTGTTCTGGAGTTAATCTTGAGCAAAAATGGAGAAGACATGATCCTAAACCTCCCTGGTTTCCATACAAGCTATCCCTTGTCTTTGGTTTTGTCCCAATGGGTTTTCCAAAGGAAGGTTTTTAACGAGGCTTATGTTTTACTTCATCATAGTCCACTTTGTTAATCATAACCAGGCCACATTCTATTCTATTCTATCCTAGTCTATTCTATTCTATTCTACTCTATTATTTTCGTGGCCAAAGTGCATGAGTTATTTTCAAAGTCAAACTCTGTTTTAATCATTTTGCTAGTTTTCGAGACTAGTCTTGGAGAATGTTTTAAGACTTGTCTTAATTACCTCTTTTTCTGTTTTTCTTCTCTTTCTGTCTTCTTTATAAGTGATATTTGTATTCTGGACGAAATTATCTTTCTTTTTAATCAAAAACCCTTTCTAAAGAAGATCATCTTGTTGGTGTGTATATCCAGCAAAATACTTAGACTCTTTGGTGTGTATATCCAGAGTTGTTTAAGTCGTTATCTTGAAGCTCTTTCTGCAAGCTTCGCTGATAACCATCAATCATTCAATCCTTCATCCATCATCACGGCCTCACAGCCACCTCTATCCATCTCTGAACTTGATAAGTGCCGATTCCTTGGGAGGATCATATAACTTGCTAAGCTGGACCAAGTTGTTAGGATATGTTATATTCATTGCAACAGATTTGGTAAGTAGATAAACTTGAGCAGCAAGTTGTATCTATCCGTAATCGCCGAAGATCCTAGGTTTTAGGGTTAAGCGATTAGTATATATACCGAGGTCGTCTCATGAAGACTGCGCGCGCCTAGGATATCATTGACAGAAGCACACGTGAGTGTGGCGTCGCCCCCACCAGACGGACAAGGTGTAGATCTATAAGCTCTGTTGGTGGTGTTCCTGTGAATCGAACAATCCAATGAAAAATAGGATGTGTGAGGATTTGCAGTAGGATTTCATGTAGAAAATATTGCATACAACCATGTAACTATTATCTTGTTCTAGTGAAATTATTCTGGACGAGGTCCCGGGGATGTAGGGACAGCCGAACCCCGTTAACAATCTTGTGTGTTCTTTCCTTTATGCACTTTACATATTTGTTATGTTCTCTCATCGTTCAAACGTGTGTATCACCATAAGTATGCACTTTTAGAAATCAATGAGAAGAAAACATATTATGGACAAACCTGATGAGAAACGAATTTTGGAGATGCACGTTCAACTTCGTTCTCAGCTGAATCATTCTTGAATGTCAGGTTTGGAAGCAAAGTGAACCTGTAGTAAAAGTGCACACATTGTTAATCTACAATTTCTAGCGATCTGTTTGCTACCATCTATGAATCCAATAAACACTGATCACATTTCAGTTGACGTGACTTTACCTGTTGTTGATATCAGACTCTCTGCAAACTAGCATTGGGATGTCTACAGCGAGAGCAATAGTTTGGAACCCAGCCTTCTCGGCTCTTCTCACAAGCTACTCAACAACTTTCCTGTTCTTGTATACCTACTCACAATGATCATAACTGCTCAAATATGTGACCATGTTTTGTCATGATGTATGACAAGCGAGTGAATTTACTTACATAGAGGTGGAAGAATAGGATCCCTGGCCATTTGGAAGCAACTTCTTCAACACTGGAATTAGCCCATGAAGAGAGTGTCTGAAAGCCATAGAAGAAAAAAACTCAATAACAAAGTTGTAAGAAAAAACTCAAAACAAAGTCTATAGCATCCGTATCCAAGGAAATTAGAAATGATCGAGGCGGACAGGACGTTGTCCGAGGGATGATTGAGCCAAGGTTCGAATATTGGCTGGGAACTGGGAGGTTTAGACTATGGTCGGGTGATGACTGGGAAATAGTCGATGGATGGCTGGGATAGCCGAGCCGGATGGACCAGATCCGAGAGAAAATGGTCCAGTCTGTGAGAAAATGGGGTTAGCCGAGTGACAGTAGACTGTGTCCGGAGAAAAAGGAAAGTCTCTAAGGGAAAATGGAGATTAGCCGAGGAAGTGTGAGTTATCCGGGTGAAAAATGAAAAATGGCCAGACATAAGGAAATAACTTGGATAAAGGCGGTTTATCTGAGAGAAAAGGAAATAGCCGAGGGAAGTTGGGCTGGGCCGTGGGCCAATTATATTAGGTCGGCTGATAAATGGTTTATCGTGTGGATGGTAGAGTTTGGTACGGGTGATAGCCGAGAAAATCTAACCGGATCGGGATAAATCCTACTGGAACCGGGAAACGTTGGTTTAGTCCGAGTTACTTAGGGTTTTGCGAGTATATAAGGGGTTTTTGAGACTTGTCTCTGGGGTGTTACATTTATTTGAGAGAAATAAAGCAACGAAAGAGATTAGTCGAGAGAAAACCCTAGAAAAGTCAGTTTATCCCGAGGATAGCCGAGAGAGATTGAAGGTCCGCCGTGCAGATCTGACCATTGCCGAGATAAACTGGTAAGCGATCGGATATTTCCCTTTGTGTCGAGTTTCCATTAGATAACCTCGAGTTAATAGACGTGTTTTGTGGGGTTTCCGAGGGTAAACATAGTTTGGCTCGAAGAAAGGTGAACAGATCGAGAGATAGCCGAGGACAAGGAGATCGGATCGTAGTTGTAGCCGAGATATCTTTAGGGTTATCGAATATCTTCGTTTCCACGCGAGTTTTATCGGGATTTCTTCTGACCAATCTGTTTCCAACCTTGTCTAAGGTGAGTGCGTGACTGTGGTTAGTATTTAGGATCGTTGGATTGCTAGGATTTGATATTTTGCATGTTTGATTGTGTGATTTGCATGTTTGGGTGTTAGCGTGTGTTAAACGATTATATACTTTGTTATTGTGAGGTGTTTACTGTGGCATAGATGATGTCTAGCTAACCTGAGGGTAATCCGGATCATATAATAGCTTAGGGGATGTGGGATTCTCGCTGAAGTAGATATGGGTCTTAAAAATAGATTGAACTTGGGCGGTTAGGTAGATGATCATGGCCGTTTGATATATGTTATGTCTATTGCGAATTGATTGTGTGGGATGTTGAATCCGATAGTATGAATATGTAAATGGTACTGACCAAGGTGTTACGGGATGACCGTACTCACTAAGTATTTATCAAATACTTATGCCTCTCTTTTTGAGTGTGCAAGATCTAAACAGTAAGTGGAGCGAGACCGGCAGCAATGATGAACATGGATGGATCAGGGATTGAGTGCTTTTATATTTAAGACTTGTGTTTTGGTCTTATGGTTTTGGTGTTTGACCATTTAGGTTGCTAGATGATCCGTTGTATTTATTAGCAAACCGTTGTGATTGTTTTATGAGAATCCTGAATCTTGTTAAGTGTTTTTATGTAAGTTTTAATAGAATGAAATGAGTTATTTGAATCCGCTGTGTATTAATAAATGCAAAGAAAAAGTTTAAAATTTGGCTAACTATAGAACGAACTGTTAGGATATAGTGAAAGCACGGCTGCGGTTTAGTTAGCCGGGTCGGGCTTCCACAAAGTCTATCAAAGCTGGAAGCAGAAATAGGCTAAGCATACAAAATATATCATCTTTCAAAGAATAATCATAGAAACCGAATCGTTTGCAATAAAAGGACTATGGCATCATAAACCCAATTGCAAATTGATATAGGAAAAATAGAGAAGGATTACGACACGTGGATGGCCAAGATTAAGAGTCTCTTTTAGTAAAGAACTGAAATTATAAAAGCGGGTGAACAGATGATAGGGCTCAGGTTTTACCAAAATAAAACTACTGCAAGTGCATAGCAAAGCAGTTGTTATACAATGGGTTATCGAATCCCAAGGGAGTAAGTAAACTACACTAAAGAGCTCAGGTTCGGATTAAGCTAAGCAATAAGTATTGAATGTAACGCGAAACAGTAAAATAAATGTAAGTGGGCGTTTTATGCTTGTTCTTAAAGTTCAGAAAGTTAAAAGCGCTAAGTCAGGACAATTCGCAGGTAGAATCCGAGAGTGTAGAACGCATGCAATCAGGAATGAATTAAAACCGTCTTGAACATGAATCACAAAGATATAACTAATCAATTCTCACTGAAAAAGTTAACTATGCTTAAATCACAGAGTTTCAAATCTCTTTGCAAACCCTAACAATCTAAACATGCAGTAATGATCATGTTCAATTGTTCACAAAACCCCTAAGCCAAATCTCTTTGCACTAAGTTGTTTTGCTCATCTAATCCTAGATCAGGCTATCAATAATGCTCTCACATCTATTAAACAACCTATAATTTTCGGATTTCTAGATGATGTGTCTAAGAAATCGATTTTAAAGCAAGCAGAAATGAAGAACCAATGGATTTTCCTAATGGTTTAGCAATTCTACAAACTCTTCTTCAACCTTTGAAAAGCCCTAACTTAACTAACAAACTACTCAGACATGGTAATTTGAGAAAGCATCATGGATAGAATAGATTGCACAAAAGAAATCAGAATTAAAGATAAGGAAGTTCAAAATCTGCTCTGAAGGAGTCTGATTTGTCTCTCCAAAAGCTCTGCTACAAATATCTCTCTAAAGCTCTCTAGAATAATAAGATACAAGATATCTGCCCAAAGAATGGCTGAAAAACCTAATATACAAAGTAAAACACGATCTAGGGCCTTTTTGAAAATACTAGAACTTCTGGGCCAAAACTGCGAATTCTTCCCAATCTTTTAAAAACCAGGCCACGACCCTTCCTCTATGGGTGACGAGCGTCACCACTTGCATCACCCAAATCCATACTTTTGTTTCCGAGTTGCACACTTCGTGGCTTCATCTTCCAATGCTCCAAAAAGCTTCAACATCTCCAATTATGCTCCAGATATGCTACAACCTGCAAAGACTCTACTAGGACTCTAAAAAGACCAAAAAGACTCAATAAAAAGGACTTATATCATGGTTAAAAACCATAAAAACCATGATATATCAACTCACCCAGACTTAGCTTTTGCTTGCCCTCAAGTAAACATCAGACAGAGAACAGGGTCGAGGTTTGAAAACAAGAAATAGTCATCTAAATTTCAACATACCACATAGCCACATTAGTCAACACTTTCGAATCCACATACCACAAAGCCAACACAAGATAAAATTTCAGTCTAATCATCACAAGCTTAGCAAATCTCTCAAATCCAATCCAAATCCCTTCAAGAAATCCAAAATCTCAGCTGCTAACTCATTATTTTTATCTAAGTGTGATATCTCATCAAGGTTTTATCATCTCAATCACTTACAGACTCTTTTCCCTTCCTAAAAAAATGAGCAAAGCAATCTCAACACAGCTCTCCTATTTTCTCTTCCTTTGATCTTTTTCATTCTGGCTTTTTTCGATTTTTCAACTCTCTTCTCATTTTTTATAGTCTAAGATATGGTGCTACTCAATACTTGTGTTCCTTGTGAGGAGACAAGTTCTTGAGTGTGTTCATTACTGTTGTTCCTTGTGAGGAGACAGGTTCTTGAATGCACCATTCTTTGGACTTAAATACTTAAAAACTACATCAGGGAAGATCAAAGAGAGACTGCATCTAAACATACTTGTCAGTGTTGAAAGAGAGAATCAAGATCAATGAGAATCAAACCCCAAGATAAGAAGTTTAATGTTTATTAAGGTGGAGCTAACATCAAGTTTTCCAGATTCTCCAAGAACCTAAACCTTCATTGCTAGACTGATCTACCTATGACTTTCAACTTAGTAAGACTTGAAATCAACTACTGTGGCAATGGTTCTTATAAGCATAGACGTTCTGTGGTTAGTTCCAAGAAAAACTGACAGTTTCAAAATTTTGGCTCTACAATAAACAGGTTTTTGACTCAACTTTAAGACTATATAAACATGACACAAAGCACACAACGTGAGTAACTACCTCCCCCAGACTTAAACAACACTGTCCCCAGTGTTATTAAGCCAAGAGTTGGTCAAAATGAAGCATGGGAACGTGTATAACCGAGTTAGAAAAGTGGTACCTCGCGGGGGACCGAGTGACGAGCGTCACCCAGCTGTGGTGACGATCGTTACCACTCTGAAACTTCAGAAATCGTCATGTTGGATGTTTAAATGTTATGCCATCGTGTGTACTCTGAAGTGATGATCATCACCACTCTGTAAGAGCGCTCAAAACACATATCAAAACATCCAAACGAAGCATAACCCATGGTTCAACAAGTTCACAAGACATCATCCAAGCAAACTGAACAAACTGACTCTTTTTTGTGTTTTTTTTTATGTTAGAAAACGAAAATAGACTAGAGTATGATAGTTAGATAACTTACCAGTGGGTTGCCTCCTACTAAGCGCTTGTTTAAAGTCATTAGCTCGACTTTGATTGGCTGTTCAGACAGCTGGTGGAACAGAAGGTGGCATTGAATGCCTTGGAGAAGAATGTCTCCTCATCCAAGGTGGTTTATAAGCAGTAGATGCATGAACTCTTCCAAGGAAGTGAGGAACATCAGCAGGGCGGGTTTTGACTGGGGGTGGTCCACTTCGTTTACCTGCTGAATCATCAAAAGAAACACCAAGCATTCTACGAAAATCTTGTTGCTTGCATAAGTGTGAAGCAGATTTTGCACATTTTAAATTCTTATTGATGAGATTAGGAGGTTTGGAATTGGTTCTAGGAAGTGCATACCTTTGTTTAGTTGCAGGTTTCTAGGATGTGGAATGTTG